GATTCGGTTGCATGACTCCAAACACAAAATAATCTCTGATATCGGCAGCTCAGCAGAAGGTTGGTGTTAAATTCTGTGATGGACTTCAGCCGGCCAGATCGATAGCTCTCCTCTTCCAGGAGGAGATGTGATTAGACCAACCTGCTGCTTTACTCCCACTCTCTTTTTCCATCAGCACAGGAAAACACTCACGGATACTAAGTGTAAACACACACACACACACACACACACACACACACACACACACACACACACACATATATAAACACACTTGATGTAATCACATGCATCTGGAAGTACTGTTTGTTCACACATGCACTCTGGAGAAAATTGGACGTCTGCTCAATGCGGCACTCAGAGAAAGTAAGGCAGTGACTGAGCAGACAGGCAGATAACAGTGAGTGAGACAGAGAAACAGATAGGGAGGCCTGCATCAAAGTAAAATGATTGCTTTGATTGAGAGTGTGGGGAGAAGGAATGATCATTTTACTGTCTATTTATTTGATCATCATATTACCTGTCCACTTCTTCTTGTTTGCAAATAAAACCTCTCATGATGACTGTCGTTTCTGATCTTTTGATTATCCCTGTTTTTTAATCATCATTATTTCTGGATGTACTGACATCCTACTTGCCACATTTGTTAATTCAAAGACTCACTTCTGTCTTTCCATTTGTCTTCCCTTTTTTCTTTGTCTATCCTTTTCTCCTTTTTTTTTCTTTTGCCTGCTGTCACATTAATTATCCCCTGACCTTTTTCCAATCATCACATCTGAGATCAGATCATTAGTCCATCATGAGGTCAGTTATCCTACCCTTCGATGAAAGCAACACGCTTCATCACTGATTTGTTTGTATCTATATTACAATGAAAGAAGTGTTAAGATCATTAAACTTTTCTTAGGTATTTCCACCCCTGAAAGACTTAATTAAAGCAAATGTATTGGGTATTAATAGGCCCTCACAACTGAATGCATCTCTTATTTATCCATTCTTCCCTCCGCTTGGCTGTCGGTGCAATCATTTTCTTTGTTGTTTTAAAACAGAGCCTAATTGAAAAACCAGACATGTCGAGAGAGGCAGTGGTAAGTGAGATTCATGACGCGTTGCCGACATGAAGTCGTACATCATAGTTTGTGAGGCGGGCGACAGAAGCAGCCATTATTGGATCAGTGTTGCTTCATTAAGTCCCAACACGACCCAGTCTGTCGCAAACGCCTGTGGACAGAAAGGAGGAAGAAAGAAGGAAAAGAAAGACAAAAGGCTGATAAAAGAATGAAGGGGAGGTAAAGAGAAAGAGAGGGATTCAAAATGAAAAAAAAACAACAAAACACTGGAACAAAACCAGTCAGCCCTATATGTCTTCTGAAATTCAAGGTAATTTAGTGTTTTTTCCCCCTTTTGGAAGATACTGTGATGTAGAAATCGTTGAGTAAGGAAACAGCGCATTAAGGATAATGGGCCAGCGGCTTCCTGTTAATTCTGGCTTACTCAACATTTCTACAAAGACTACAGCAGTGGGTTGGCAACCCCTCCAATAGCTCCCACAGCATCCAAGTTTCAGAGGTTCATTTCCAACAATATGTCAGCTTCATTAAACTCTCTCTGCTTTGTTATTGGATCACATTGTGGCTGGACAATCACCTCAGCCAATTAAAATAGTTCTGTAACTGAAGAATTCATAACCAAATATCATTATACATATAACTCATTCGATAGATGAACAGGTGTTTGTAAATTCCTATACAGCTTGGTCCCATCAGACAAAGAAAATGGTTCCATCTAGTGGTTGTACTGTGAATCACTTTCTGGAAAGGAAAAAAAAAAAAAAAAAAAGCAGCATACCTAAGTCTGCTTTCTGTGAGAAAACATCACACTAAGCAGACCTAGCAAACCTGCACAGGTGTTTTCAATTAATTTGGCTAATTAGGCATGTTGTCAGGACTGTGGGGACATGCACAGGCTACACTTAAGGTCTAATCAGCCACATTAAGTGAAAACACCTGCGTCAGTGTAAGCCAAAAGGGAAAACAGGGACTTACATTTCGTGAAGTTTTGAACAGTAAAATAAGGACAAGAACTGTTTCTCCTTCAGTGTTTCAAGGCATGTTTCACCCCACTGATTTAATTTGCTTCTCTAAAAACTGCGTCTAAATGAAGTCACATTCACGTTTTATCACTCTATCAGTAAACGCTGTTTCAAAGAAATGAGCCAGATTTCACTATCTCAATTAAAATCTTTTCTCCTAATTAAAAGCTCCAGTGGGCTGGACAAATTGATGCATCATGCGCAGAGATAGCTGAAATAAGGTTTTAATGAAGAACATTTATTCATCAAAATTTGAGTCAGGACACGGGTCAATATTTTTTCACTCTCAGTTGACCTGATTGATTTATTTGAATTGATGTAGCTGAGTTCCTGTGCTGCCTGCGCTATCATGTTGCCTGGGTTATTGTGATGTTTGGGTTCCTCATATTAATTGGGTTTTTGTTTGGGTTCGTAAATATAGACCCTTGAAACAGTCTGAATAGGGCTTTACTAAGACTGGTGCCAAACTAAAAGTGATTGTTTCTCATTTTTACACCTTTTAGCACAAATCATATACACAATATATTCTGGTTATTACTGGGTGATATTTTAAAGGTTAGCACAATGACTTAGCCAGATTAAGCTAAGATAACCCTCTGCCAGCTGCACCTCTATGTGTAAGACATTCTCAGCAGTCCTGTAATATTCATGAAATAATGTGTCGCTTTAATTCAGTTTCATTGTAATTTTTTTATTACATTTTTTATTCATAACAGCAAGAATCAAATATAGCAATGCAGGCCCCATGAAAAAATGTGTCAAGGACTTTTTCTTCCTTAACCAAACACATCCACTCAAGTTGGCACAGAATACTACAGGTTATATTAGCCACATTCATGACTTTAATTACAACATGATGTTGTAGTTAACAAAACCTCAGCAAACACATTCCTACCAGCTTCACATGGTAAAGTTCCCCACCTCTGTTTCATTTCTGTTTCCTGTCAACACATTTCATCCTAATGAGATTATATTTTATGGCTTTAGACATCTACATTCAGAGGGGTTTGTCTCTACAGATGCTTTTCAGAAGAGGTGGTCGGCATGCAAGCATGACACATCTTTTTCAGGGGGCCTGCAGCAATAAAACAAGCAGAAACAAACTGCAGCAGAAGACAGAATACATCATATCAGCACTACAAGCAGAGAAAACAAACAACAAATGAAAAAAAAAAAAAGCTCCGTTTACATTATATCTTCAACGTAAGCATGCTTGCTTGTAGGAGATGAGAGATGACTAAGACATTCAGGACGATACTTCAAACTAATGACTCTATGACCAAACCACAAAACTGTATTTCAGTCTGAAAGGATTTTCAAAATTCTGCCTGATGTTGAAATATATTCCTGTTCGGTCAGATTCATCTACTAGAAGCACAGCTTACATAAAAATAAAGAACATACTTATAGCTATGGTGTTTGTGTTGCATGTATTTTAACTCCCCAAGTGGTAAAACTTTAGTGAGTATATTTTCAGATATCTTTTTTTTTTTTTTTTAATAAACCACTATTCTATTTTTGTATTTTTTATATATATTTTATTCCATTACATTGATAGAATATTGTATACTGTAAATACATCTTTCATTGTAACATGTTTTCTTATTCAGTATTACTGTGGTGATTCTTTTTATTAAATGGTATATGTATTTCCTCTAACATGCATTCCTCTTTGAGTAAAGTAAAGAGACAGGACGTGTTGTGATTGGTTGGGCCTGGGAGGGCGTGGCCATGACACACAGACCTGTTGGTACAGGCAGGTAATGGGGACCAGACAAACCCAGCTAGGCCCTCACGCTGGAGGTCAGTGAATGCCTCCTTCCGGAAGGTTACCTGGCAAACTACAAGCTGCTGACGAAAAAGAAGAGCAACACTTGGCCTTTTCTGAAAGGGGTCGGAGAGTGAGAACTCAGTGCCCTTTTTGATGCAAGCAATTTTGTTCAGCCTTTCATAAGATTTTTTTTTTTGTTATCCTAGCAAAATTCCTTGTCGTTATAGACGTTATTTTTTTTTATTCAAAATAAGATCTCAATATACATGATTCTCTCTTTTTTGACTATGTACAGAAGTGCAAAAAAGTCAACCTTTATCACCTTTATCACCTCCAGATTCCCCACCCGACCCTTTTGTGTTTTTGCAGATGGCTGAGTAAGAGATGAGTGTGCACACTCGGTTCCCCTACTCACCTCGTTCACCTGACCCCGTCAGCAACGCTCCCGAAAAAGTGATCAAATATGCAGCTTGTTTTCCAACATGGCCCAATTTCCAGGGAGAGTAAAAATCTTAAAACAATAGTTACTATTTGAAATGGATACAGTAGAAAATAACATCTTTACTCTAAACATCTAAGAACTAGATTTTTCATAATAATAGTCTTTTTTTTTCTTATATGACTAGTTACAAACCTTACAATCATTAAAATATTACTCGGTTATCGGCAACGGTTGCCACAGTGACAACTTAGCCTCTCTGTTCTGTTATTTCATCACTGTTATACTCATATAAAACATCTTTGTTCAAAGAACACAAAAGAGAACTAGAGAAATGAACAGTATGCATACAGTTCAACAATATGCATAACGTAGAAAATATTGAGTTTACAATCATAATCATACTCAAATCAACAACACATGGAATTTCAGGAAACTGTGCATGAGGAACACACATAAAGACACACTTTTATCTTATATTCTTTTTTAGAAAGATAAATATAATATGCAAAACTAAAAGTCAGAACTAAATATCAAAAAGTCATCCAAACAAAAAAAAAGTGAAACACTCCTAATCTAAGGAAAACCTACAAGACAGTTAAGAAAACACTGACAAAAAAGTGACGTATACATAGTGCTCTGTGTGTGTGTGTGTGTGTGTGTGTGTGTGTGTGTGTGTGTGTGTGTGTGTGTGTGTGTGTGTGTGTGTGTGTGTGTGTGTGTGTGTGTGTGTGTGTGTGTGTGTGTGTGTGTGTGTGTGTGTGTGTTAATATGGCGTGGATTAGGCAACTGGATGGTTCAAAATGGCATGTTGCATTGTGCTGACCCGATGGTACATTCTAAGGCTTTGGATGAGTAATACAATCGTTTTTATTCTCGCCACCTTCCCTGTACTATCCACAGATTGAAAATATGCCAGAAGCACACCCAGAACACGACGAAAAACAAAGAGTTCTAGAGATCTACTCTTAAACACCATCTTTCTTTTGGGGCTGCAACCCATACATTTTCTTTAAAAACATTTTTCTTCCCCCCTAGTCTACCCACGATATCTAGTGACAATGACACAATAAGACTTTGGCTGACTATCTGAAACAGTTCTCTGGTATTAAAGAAATATTCTTAAATATGTCCGACTATATATACACACTCAAACACTAGATCTACATTTGACAACCTGCTTGAAAATATGAACAACCATACAAAATGAAAAAAAAAAAAAAAAAATCACACCAGTTGCACCTTTGATTTCGACTTGTGTCTCACAGCAGTTTGAATACCAACTTATAGCCCTGTTGTTTTGAAGCTATTCATCGTAACATGGTCATTCTTAGGGGAGTCTTTGGTCAATCTCTTAGGCCTAGACCCCACATACAACATCTGACTTTTAGAGACGATACACATTTTGAACACCCAGAGATCTATATCTAACCTGCTGGGGAGGGAAAAACTATTCATTCAGTAAAACACTTATCTAAATGAGACAATCTTGGGTTTCCAATTAGCAGTTTTGCTATGGGAGTGACAGGTCAAGTAGACACTTCATGCTGTCCAAGAGAGAAAGTAAGACATTTTTAAAGGGTATTGTTGATTATTTGTTACACTGCTTCAATATGTTTCGTGTGTTTTGAGATTTATGGCACTTCACAGGTACACCTGCAGGGTGAAAGACGTGTGCTTAGGTAGGCTACAAAGGTTGAAAGACAACTAGCAGACATTCAGTAGCTATTTGGGCCTCTGAGTGTACCGTACTATAAGTCCCTTATTATCACTGGTTGAACAAAATGAAATAAGAAACAAAATTGTGCATTAATATGTGATTCAGTCAGATTATCTGTTTCTTCTTCCTCAAATGACATACAAGGTGCACCTTTGTGTAAACAAATGAACATATTTAGGTCAAAGATGACAACCAATGAAGAAACACAAAGTCATGATTCCTGATCAATGGACGTACCAATCCAGTCGCTTTTTTTTTTTTTTTTTTTGATGACTGCTCCGCACATTTGCCTCATGTTGACATTCAAAGTGTGTCCGGTGAATAAAGGTAAGTTGCCTCTACAGAGTGAAAGGCAGTCTTTGATGCGAATGATGTTCATTACTGTTGTTATGTAAGAGTGTGCATGATGAAAAACAATCCTAACAAACTGTGCCTCCTATGTTAACATGCAGATTTATTCCAAACCACTTCAGATTTGGTTCTCCGTTTTATGCCCCCGATGTTCAAGACGCGAAGGGTGATCGCTAATCTTAGACTCAACGTCAGCACGCTGCAGTTCCATCTGGAAGGTAAAACACGGTGAATAAGGTGTGAGAGAAGCGTTTGACAGCTGGGACAAAAATTATTTACACTGAAATCTGACTCTAGTTTTGTAACATGGTCAATCTTCAACTCCACAGCCAGACTAGTTAGGCTGTAATTGTATTACTACTGGACGCTTCCAATATCTTTACAATGACAATATGGTATGGTCAAATTGGAGACAGATTGTGATTATGGCAAATAAGCTCTTCTGCACTTAGGCAACTAAAATGCTTCTTTAAGAAAAACTGAAGTAAGAAAATGATTCTATCTCTTTTGAAATATGTTTGTAAGATAGGAAGAGGCATGTGCAACAGGCATATTCCTCTATTCTAGCATTGACTGCCTCACCGCCTGCCTCCCAGGTAATCAGTGCAGTACTTAGTTCATTGCATTCAACATCATCAGTGAAATATCATGAAAATGTGCAGAACTCAACGTGATTTATGAGGAATATTGGCTGGCCCAATAAAGAAATGAATGTATTTCTGATGTCACATTTATTAAGTTGTAAACTTTTGATGAAACATAATTGTAACTTTTTATGATTTCATACGGTTGTCATATAAATTCTATCAAAAACATAAAATAAAAATGAGTAAGTTGTTTAGATATAATAGAACTTGCTGTAAATATTTCCAGATTTTTTATGCTCTTGTTGATTAATGGTGTTAGACTGAAAACACATCCACATTGGTGGAGTAAAATTGGCAATCACAAAGTAAATGGATCTCTGTTGGTGTTGTAGTCATGTTTCTTAAAGACTTTAAGCTTTTATGTGTTTACCCCTGTGTCTGCCTGTGTGACATACCTTCTCATTCTGCTGTGTAGTGTGTATTTCCTGTAACTTCACACTTTTCCTTTGTAAGTTCCCTTTCCCTTGAATGAAGAGGGTTTAAGTGTTGTTGAAAACCCTTCACATGAGAGCTTCCAAGCTGAACATTAACTTAGTAAGTAAGTGTTGGTCCTAATAGAGTGTGAAAGATGTATTAAAGCGGTGAGGTACATACTGTTCGATCGAGACTCCTACATCTGGGTCACATACTTGTGACTAGTCAGATGGTCTGCAGATATTATAGGAATCTGATTGAGAGAAAAAAGGAGAGAAAAAGAGGGAGGGGCATATGGAATGATAAATATAAAGGAGACACATCAGTTTAAATGTTTTTCACCTCACTAAGAAAAGCATTTTTATTCTAAATGAACACAGCATCAGATGTTCCGAGAGCCTTGTGGCCTTGTGATAAGCCTTGTGGAGCATTCATGCATTTTTGATGAAGAGGCACGTGAATCACGATTGAATAAATAAATAAATAAACCATCGGTTATTGAAAGTCAAAGCAGATACAAGGAGTGAAAAGACAGAGAGAGAGAGAGGAGACTGGAGAGGAGCAAACCTGATTGGCTGTTGCGGTTGCAAAGGGAACACTTGTGGCAGATGTGGTGGCTGCAGACACAGTGGCTTGAGTAGCACCGTGCATCATGGGAACTTGGAGGGAAAGATCAAACGAGCAGTTGAACCACAGCAGAGTAAAAGCTTTGTACGTTCACACTTCATTTTTACGTCTGTGTATAGGATGCTGATAAACATAAAAAAAACAGTTTCCAGCTTGTTATACATTTTTTTTTAATATATATTTAAACTTTTACACTTAACACATTGTAGCTAAGAATAGCAAAAAAACATGCTGTGCAGGAAAAAGGAAACATCAGAGAAATTCATTCAAGGTTGTAAATTGGTAAATTGGAAGAATTTAAGCTTTAGATTTGCCTAAAAAAAAAAGAATAAAATCATAAAAGCACTTCCATTCTACTAAAAATAATGCTACACTGTCAAACTACCATTACATCCACTTCCATGAATAACTCCTCATGTTTATGTAGCATGTAAAATCAGACAGTAAAATAAGGTACTCTTGGAGTTAGGGGGCTTTGGATGGAGGTAAACAGGAGCAGGGTCAGGTGGGGTTTAAATGCCATGTGCTCAAAGATATTCAGTAAGGAAAGCTGGCACCTACCAACACTTGTTGCAGGTGTCATGCACAATATCGAGCCTGCCCATCATGCATTGCAACAGGGAGTGGAGTGAATAGGGAGGGGAAGAAATCAAGAAAATACATTACAAGTGTTATAAAGTCAGACCCAGGTATAAACAGATTGTGTATTTATGACACTTTAGCACAACCACACAAAGGAAGCAAATGCACGAGGAATAAAGCTCATCTGTGGAGAGCTTTAACCTCCTGCCTTTCCAGCCTCAGTTTACCCTTGTGCTATCACAGTCTATCAAATGGAACAGCAGATTAAACACTACCAGTGGTCCCCATTTCCTGTCCACAGCTGGTTGCACCTTAGTAGTTTCTAATGACCTGCTCTCAGGGTCCTTAAACTGTGTAGCAGTGACCTGACAGTGTGATGCTGTGGGATGTATGAGGATCGGAGTAACCGAATATATCACAGATGGGAATCGATGGCAGGCTATTCTTAGGCTGTCAGAACAGAATATGGGACACAGTGTAAGATGTCTATGGAGTGGACTGCAGCTGATATTAGCTGTGTGGGTTTGTGTGTGTGTGTGTGTGAAAACTGTATATGCACACATACTGTACTTAAATTAATTTCCACTGAAAAGGGAGGGAAACCAACCCCATTAGTTTTCACTTTCTCTGTTAAGTCCTCCTGTTTTTTGAAGTTTGAATTAATAAATGAAATCTTTCTGGACTGTGTCATCTCAGTGTCAAGGCAAAACCCAAATGACAGAAACGAAAAGATGAGAAAATATTTATTAACCATCTGTATGAACGAGTTTCACTTTGCTCATGTTAATAAGCTTGACGAGCATTGTATGCCCCCAATGTTGTCTGTCAGGCTGTTTGAGCTAAGAAATGGCTTGAAGATGTTTAGGTATAATTCATCCTTTAAAAGAGCAAAGCAAAAAAAGTTTTGATTATCTGAAATGTTACATTTCAACTTTAACGAAGCCAAAATAGAAAATACATTTAGTCAGTGTCCATTAATCTTGTATTACCTTAATAAAGCCATTACTAAAATTTATATTAATAAAATTGCTTCTTTCACTTTTTTCTTATTTTTTATTGAGAATTTGATTAGTTAGCCTACAGTAAATATGATAATATTGGGAGAATAACTGTAATAGCGATTGTAATGCTGCTCTGTGGAGGAAACACATGAGAGCTCTGTGTTTGTTGCTCTGTTATCGGCTTGTTTTACAAGGGTTTTATGAGTTATTTTTAATGAATAGCAATTCATAGCCCCCATGTGATGCTTAATGATGTATTCAAAAAATGTGTTTCATGTTTGCAATGCATGTCCTGTATGGTATTTATGTCTTTTGTGGTTTATGATTTTATGCTCTTGGTGCGAGGCAAGTTCCCCCTGGGGGTCAACCTCGCTTCTGACAGCTAACTTTCACCCATGCTGAACATAAATGTGCAATAAGATTCCTGTTATTTTTTCAAAAACATTTTCCCCAACAATTAACTCACACCATTATTCAGCTATAACTGCTTTTCTGAGAAACAGCATGTGATCTGACAGTCAATAGAAATGGGATAACTGCCACAAACGTGTCAAAGTGAAAAGGCTCAGGCCTTACCTGATGGTATGAAGGCTGCCTGCTGCTGAAACTGCATGTTGGCCAGGGCCTGTTGGTACTGGAATACACCAGCGTTGAACATAGTGGTGGCACCGTTGGCTTTTTCAAGTGCAGGTCTCTTTGGTAAAGGAGGCAAAACAGGAGGGAGCCCCTGATGAGGGGACAACACCAAAGTAAAGGGGATAGGAGAGTGGGACATCAAGAGACGGTGGCAGTGACATTTAGGACAGAGAGAAGAAAGAGTTTCGTTAGAAGATGACATATTTATTTTCAAACAGTCATCATCAACAAGCAGGTAGTGGACTACATAACTGTCTGTTACAACAAGACACAGGGGCACTAACTGAATAACTGAAACAACAAAAACAATCCTCAACACACTTTAAAGAGCGTTATTAAATGACCCTGAATAATACAGTATATTAAACACTGAGTTTGTAGGCTAAGGCATGATACAAATTATTAAAGAGAACTATGGTATAAATATTGTATTCATTGTTGGACCATCAAAAGAAAGGATGTAAGGGCAAGCTGCACTGCCAGCTCCATGACAATAATACACTCTAAGCCATGTTAAGACACCTTTTGTACAGTTACACATGCAATATGAGAAGTGAAAACATCATGCAGAGACTAGCATACTATAAAATATTAAATTGTCATGCAACCTTCTTTTAAGATTCACTTAAGGTGATGAACTGACCATTGACCGTAGACGTATAGTATATAGATATTCTTTCATTGAAATTCCTTAGTTACTGAAGTTTAAAATGAGTTTTTCATCAATTCTTTGTAAGATTTCTCTTATTTTGAAGTTTAAATCTGGTGTTTAATCTAATTTAATCTAATTTGGTAATTAATAAAACTAGTGGCTTTAGTCAGTTCATCACCCCTCAGTGTTTTTCCCAGTTCGGATCATTAAATATCTACTTTAAGAAAGAGCTACAGAAATAGATGGACTACATCATAAGCTACATGCCAAGCTAAAAGGTAAAGATCATAGTACCAGATCAAAGGTTGCGTCGAGGGGTCGCTTCAGTGATTTGACAGCCGACTGAGTCTTAATTAGCAGGCAGCGAGCACATGATGGCAATGGGGCCAATGGGGGTTCAAGCGTATTAACATAAACCAGCAAGCGGAGGTGCATCATGGGGGCAGCAGTGCAGTGTGGGTTGGTGAGAAAAAAACAAAACAAACAAACAAAAAAACAAATAAATGAAACAAAAACAAATCATTGGAATGCAATTTACAACAATAACAAGACTAGAGCATGCACATTAAAGATTGTAGGGTTACAGGAGAGAATTATGGCTTTTATTGTAATTTATTTTTCCCCAAAAAAAAAAAAAAAAAAGTTTAATTACTCAAGAGTGCAAAGTCGTTGTGGTCCAGAAAGAGGCTTTAACAAGTTACAGATTGGTTTCATTCAAAATCAAGAAAATCTTGAGTTTTGTTGCAGTACAATTCTACAAAATTAATTTAGCAGATGCTTTTATGCACAGCGTGGTACATCTGAGAGTACAACACAAGTAAGTATCTAGAGAGGAGGAAACACATCAGTCAAGTCTGATTGGACACACATGTGCTGACAGGAAGTGCACAGAGGGGGAGCACAGTTTATAAATATAATATATATTAGACAGTAAATATATTCTTTGAACATCATGTTGTCTAACCAGGTTTACTTGGACTCTGTGGTGTCTGTTCTATTGCTGTCACTCGCCTGTTATTACCGTTATCCAAACAAAACAATACACCGCAATCCAACTTCTGTCCCAGAACACTTTTTTTTAAGAGCTGAAAAATGTGTCACATTACTAGTCGAAAAAATCTGCTGTTATTTAGGTAAAGATTTGCTGCATAATGGTTAAAAAAAATACTTCCGGAAGTCAGAAACAAAGTTAAAAGGGCAAATATTAACCAGCAGATGTTGCATGTGAATGCAGGTTTAGCTATACTAAAGTATGTCTGATTTAGCTTTCTCTAATAACTGCTACATAATGACATTTGCAGTATCATGCAGGCAGAGCCAAACCTAATTATTATCTCATTATATGTAAATCTTCACTGCATTGCAGAAACTCCAGTGTATATAAACATTGGTTCACAGTTGTTTTTTCAGTAAAAAAAAAAAACCTGTTATAGCTGTAAATGAAAATGGAATATACAACTAAGAAAGCAGCAAAACAAGGAGGAGCAGGAGGAGGGAGCAGTAGATTCAGTTACAAACTGGCATGATCACCACAGCCTGTGTCTAATAAAGGACACCATCGACTCTGCATTTCTCAGTGTTTTGTTTGGAGGGCAGGAACAGACGAGACTGCGAGAATGTGTGCTGGGAGATTGAGTCAAAGTGTGGAGTAGAAGATGATTACTACAAATGAATCCAAAAACTGGAAAAGTTAAGGCTTTTATTATCATATAAGAATGTGTTTTTTTAAGAACAACATTGCACGATAATTATGTTCTTATTTCCTCTAGCTGGTGATGCTTTGGTTGACTAAATGATCTTAGCCCTTAGCCCTTCTCAGTGTTGTATAACCTGTGTTCAGATACCTACCATGGCTGCAGCGGCTGCAGCCTGGTTGACTTGGTGCTGGGCCGCTTTGATCTTGGCCTGCAGGTGAGCCGGAGGGTGAAAGTACTTGCACTTCTCCCTCGAGCAGCGGCCCTTGATGTAGTCCATACACACAGTGACTGTGTTGTCGTTGGTGTCAATCATAGTGCTGTCTGAAGGGTGGGCAAAACGGCAGTCGTTCTCCCCACGTGTGCAGTTCCCCCGCTGGTATTCCCGACATACCTGGCACACAAAAAATACAAAAAAATGTCACCTCTTTTTTTGTTTACGTGACAATAAGACCTAAAACACACACAAATACAAGACCCCAAACACTCATTATGAAGTCATGTTTGACTTTTCTTCACATTTGATGAAATCATCAATCTGCTCAGTCAGTTGAGAACTTGACAATCACTTTAGCAGACAGAGCTAACCAATCTTAAAGACAGGTTCGGCTGTTACTTCTGATTGATAAGCAGAACAGACCGTAACCAGTGTTTACAGACTCATCAATCACACCACATTTATCCATTATTCAAATGAGCTGTGTTGTTGTTATTCCTTAGAGGAGACAGAAGGGGGCAGCATCTGCACGAGCAGCTGGGAAGCTGATTGCCTCAGCCTGGATTTGAGGGCTCAATGAGGCTCATGGGAAATATGAGGCTGGTTACCCTCGAGGGAGGCTTTAGCTGACGTAATCAGACACACACACACACATACACACAAACACAAGGTGGATGCACTTTGAAATTATGAGGCAGCATCTTTTCCGTCGGATTACATTTTGACACTTAAAGGGCTGGGCAATAACTTAAGATGTCTGTATGAGTGCAATCAGCCTCTTCTGTTCCTCCTTCAGAAACCTATCCTGCCTCAAATGAAATGTAATTTCATGGTACGTTGTATCGATCTATCAGTTATTATGATTGAACAAGCAATTTGCCAAATGTCTGTTTACCGGTCTCACTGTCTGCATGCATAAAGGATTTGATTTGCCGGTGGAGGGGCTGCCAGACAAAAGGCCACCATCGGCGTTGTCTTCAAAACTAACCCTTCTCTGTCTGCGGTGTGACGGCTCATCATCCACAAACACCAATCTGTGAGCAGTGAGGAAGGATTCTCTCTTTTGTCTGTCTCTTTTTTGCTCTTATTTACCTCTTACCTCGATATATACATGAATGTACACCTACACACATTAATCTTCCACCACTGCTACTGGTCTTTTTTTTTTTTAAAGAGAGAGAGACAGAGAGAGACAGAGAGAGAGAGAGAGAGAGAGAGAGAGAGACTGCCTTGTTGTCAGGCAGATGTTGGAAAGTCGGATGAGGGAGGGTGAGGGAGCGAGGGAGGGAGGGTGGATACAAGGTAGAGAAAGGGAAATGTAAGACTGGTTGATGAATAAAGAGTAAGGGACGGGGGGGGGGGGGGGGGGGCGTGGCATGGAAACGAAATTAGCACAGAAAGGGAAGACTTAATGGAAGCAAAGTGATGTTTGCTGCACCAGGTGTGTGTTTTCTCTCAACAGTGTTTAATCATGCATTAGAGAGAGCTAACTTGATGAAAGTGCTTAGTTGGACAAACAAATAAAAGGGCCTGTTAATCATATTTCTGTCCCCATGGGAACCGTCCCTCTGGGCCATTTACATCACCGTGGTTTCTAAAGGTAAGCAACATATGATTTTCTGCACACTGAAAAGCTGACGCTCCATCAGCGATAGAGGTGGAGAACATATTTCTTGGGGGGAAACAGTCAGGAGGGTTGTTCTCTAAAATAGGAATTTCTCTCAGCCTCCAGGAAATAGCCTGTAACATATCGAACGACTGGTATGTGTGTCGGCCCACTGAATTCCAGCTATGTTTATTCTGAAACACTCACAAGAGAGACTAAAATATGGCCGGCCCTTTTCTTGAAGATATTTTTAGTGAACCCAGTTCTTGACGAATGAGGCTTATAAGTCCCTCAGATCAAAAATCTGAACCAGTACACCCAGACTGATCTCCACAGCTACTGTAGTGCAGTGGTGACCACTGGGCCTGAGTACCTTAAAGGAGAAAAGGCGAGCAGATTTTCCCTCTACTGCCAATTATTGCATTTGCCTAATAAATATTTCATATCTGCTTGTGTGTTTACTGGACTTTGGTGCAGAATGCTTTCAATCCGTTGCCAACTTATCATTTCACTCTCAGTCGAGACCTACATGTTCTTCTTCTCCCTCTTCTCCTTCCTCTCGCCAGTCACGACTCTTTCATGAAATTCAATCAAAACTCTCTCATTTCTTTTTGTTATCTTTCTCTCTTTTCTCTTCCCCCCCAAACCATTCCCCTGATGACCACAACAGGTCTACAAATTGATTTCCTATCTCGCCCTCCATCTCTTTTTCCTGTCATTGACCTGTTTCCCTTGCTCTATGTGTGTCATCCACTCTTCCATTAGGGCCAGGAGACTTTCTCCCTCATTAATTAGCCAGAAACCCCATATACATTTTCAATGTAACCTTCCTAAAGTCACCGCACGCTTCTTGCCTGCCTTCAACGATTTCCCCATTACTCCATTGCGAATGTGTCCCGGGCGGGGCTGCATAATGGATGGGATTGACTCACTGTCCAATTAATGATTATCTGAACACAGCTAGAGCAGCGTCCGCCGTCAGGTTTCTCACGACTGATTGCTCTCATGGAAGAATTGAAAGATTTTCTTGAATATACAGTCTAAGTTAATTTTGTGCCAAACAATACTGTCTGCCTCCTGCTGATTGGAGGCGGCATCAACACAACAGTGATGTTATGCAACCAGATACTCTCATTAACATCTCTGTCTCTTTGCCTAAGTCTGGGTAATGGCTGCAATTTGATAATAGGATTACTGTTACTGAAACTGTGTACCAGATACTTCATTAAAGTCTGCAAACAGAAACGGATGAGCAAGACTTTTTTCAGCCCCAGCCTTTCAGATTCCAACAGGCAGAGTTTCAAAGCCCAATCTGTTTGCATATGAGGGAAAATGTTTGTTAGTGTTTTGTTAACATGTCTTTTTGCTTTGTCGGCTTTTGTGATTAATCACAACCTTTCACCTGTGTGGTCATATTCTCCTTGTTTTAACCTGCTTTCTATGCGTGTAAACGTGTGTTTTCTCACCTCCAGTCTGTCCGTCCTCATGAGTTTCTGTGCAGCGGCAGCAGCTGCAGCTGGTACAGGGACGTTGGGATTGCTGGTGACCAGTACAGGGGCGCTGGGCATGATGTCAGCAGGCATCAGGCCAGGCGACACGGGGCCAAGGTAGGGTTAAACGCAGCGGCCGCAGCAGCAGCATTCATGTTGGTTGCAAGGCTGGGTGTGACTGAAAACATGGGCTGTTGGCACATGAAAAATAAGAAAATGACTTTTAGAAAATGTGTTTTAATGTTGAATAATTAAATACATCAACCAAATAAGTATAACTCCATCTTCTTTTACTGCTTCTCAAATATCCCTTTGAAGATGTATGACAGAAGATGTTGAAATAAGAGATGTATGTAATTATCAGAAGCCGAGCTGAGTATACTTTGGTTCAGGATGTGTGGGAGAAGAAGACAGCAAAAAAATACACAATTAATGGGCTTACATCAGAGGAAACACAATATGTCTTTGATGGCTGCTTGTCTTTCATTTGACATCACTCATAAAAGAGGTCTGCACTCTGTATGCTGGTGTCACCCACTCCCCATGGCTCTGATCGAATCACACGCTTCACACACCAAAGATCACACATATAGAAGTAATAAGGATGAGGGACGTCAAGCTGTGTGTGCAAGGGAAAGGAAGGGAGGGGATGTACTGTTGAAAAAAAAAAACAGTGCCTGTATGTGCTTAACAGAGAAAACTTCCTGAGAGGGAGGCTAAGGAGTGTGCTAGCTGACGTAGTGCTCTGTAAATTTTCCCTGCACGTTCCTGACCTCAGGCCCAGTCTGAGGATTGTCTCTCGAGTCCCTGCCAACACGACATAGTGAGTAATAGAGCAGCAGGGCTGGACGCTTACATTCCTCCCAAAAAAACTCCACTCTGCGCCGGGATGACTCAGAAAATCTGGAAGAATGGCGTGGACTCTCTGCCCTCCAGAAGAAGAATTATGTCCTGTCACAAGGTCTGGAGACATAAGTGTGTGTCGCTTTAGGAAGATAAAAAAATCAGTTTAGGATTTCCTCATCTCAGGGTTGAGATGAAGTCACATATACGATTCACAGTCACGAGCTTGTAGCAATGCAGTGATGTCATCCTACAAAAGTTTGTGATCCTTTTAATGGCTTTTTCTGGAATATCTCTCCACTTAGCATTGAATGGTTTCCAATAATGATAGGTCGCGCAGATTCCAGCTATAAATCACAGTCGCAATGGTTTGAAAACAATTATGTGAAATTGAGCATGTTTACACAGTAGGAACAGAATAATTTCTCACTGCATGCTTCCTGTCAGCACTTTGTTATGCAGCAGTAATGATGTGTTTGAATAGCTCTTCCTCCGACAGTCTTAGAGTTACAGAGATTTAACCCTAATCTAAGTGGTGGAGCCAATCATACAAACGTGGTTTAGTAATGTAAATTGATTATTCATATTGGAATCAACAATAAGAATTAAAGATCACAATGACTTTTCTTCATCACAATTTATTGTAAGAAATAAGACATCAACAGCACCTTAGTATCAGCTTAGAGACTTAAAGCAAAATAAAAGAGATGTTATCAAACAGAACATTGTGATATAAACAGTGACTTTTCAATAGATGTCAAATGGTCCTCTGCCATTGAGAATGTACATGCACTCTACATTAACAAAAAATTAGCTTTCACATATCTGACCAGGAAGTCACCTTACGGCACACTCTTAATTTGTATAGGAAACATTTTGATACTTATTTTCATAGAACCAAGTATTATTTGCAGAGTCATATCAGGTGATTTTTCAAGGCTAAAAGTTGAACACACTCTTTTATAACAAGGTGAGACAAATAAACACTGTGTTTAAAAGTAATACAAAGTTTTTTTAAAGAATGGCCAATTGTTAAGAAAATAAGAGAATGTGACAATGCATAGCTGTACCTACTGAATCTAAAATGTTCAATGGTAAGCTAACATTAGCCACTTTTTGTTACTGGTTATAGCAAAGGCAGGCTGTTGAAATTATTTAGTTGCTCAACTGATTATTTTATTTCTATTGAATTTAATTCTTAGAGTGTAACAGGAAAATCTCCAGGTTATATCCAGGTCAGGGTAAAGTGAGGAACTTTTGTCTTGTGTTGATTTTGGCGCCCCCTGTTGGTAAAGGGATGCATCTTATATTGTGTCCTGTACATGTTAAGGTTGTGTTTTGTTTTGTGGGGAGAAAATGTCATTCTGATTCATTTAAAACGTCAGATGTATCACTTGTTGTGAATTTCTGCCAACATGCAAACAAAGGCTGCTGCAGCAGTGTGATGTTAATCTCCTCACCCGACGCTTAGCCCTGTGCAGCTGTAACAGATCTTAACTACAAAGAAAGAATCGATCTTGTTGCTGATGGTGTTGTTTGCTGTAGGTAATAGAGGCATAAATATTAATGTCAGTCTGTTTAATAATAAGTAAAAAACTCCTCATATGAACTTAGCTCAAACTACTTTGAATACATTTTAATACACAGATATCCATTCCACTAAGACCAAAGTCGAGGACCCTGACAACAAGCAGTGTCACCTTCAGATTTCAGCCTTGACTTTGGAACGACTAGAAGGGCCCCATTTGAGGATCTAAGGTCATGGGATGGGGATAAGATGGCTCATATGGGGTCAGCATTCCAGAAATGTAATTTGGGGAAATACCAACACAAGCTTAAAACGGGATCAGTCAAATTTTAAAATCAATTCTAAATGTGACAGGGAGCCAGTACAATGTGGAATGACAATAAAAGCATTCTATTTTCCTCTGAAGTGCTAAATCAACTACTGTACACTGAGCTCAGCCCAGGCTTTGTTGTGTTATTGTGCCACCAGTTATAAACATGCTCCTTCTTACAACCCAAACATGGAAATATATGTAATTATAGAAGTAAGACAGCTCTTGGAAAGCCCTTCCCTTGTGGCCTTCATGGTTTTATTTCACTTATTTTTATACACTGACTGCATCAAACTAGTATACTAAGTTTCCTTTAGTGGATCTTTTTATTTTCATGTGAGTGAGTGAGTGAGTGAGTAAGTGCTACAACATAATTGTAATGTTGCCTGTCCACTGACGTTGACTCTGTAATAAAAAGCATCATGAGCACCATCACTCACAGCAGGCTGTAATGGACCCTAATTACTCCACCCTCTGCACATGTCCATGCGTGAAATGAAAGCCCTCTCCCACACACAAGGATGGAAGGAGAGCAGGTAAGGGCCAAAAAAAAAAGGGGCAGAGCAGCAGATAAAATGTGTTAAAGCTGCTGAGTATGAGGGCAGGAAGCTCAGACTACAGACACAAGGGAGGGATAGAGGAGGAAACTGATTTTTAGAAAGGCAAGTACCCAGTCTTATCCTTTGTTCCCTTTGCACACACTCTTTTCTCCCACAGCTCAGGTCTAAACCCATCTTTCCTCACCGCTGTCGCCCTATCTCCTTCACTTTACCTACCTGTCTTTACTCTACCCATTTATCTCCTTCTGCCTCACTCAGTGCTCCCTTTCTTCTTCTGCTGTGTCCTTCTCTGTCAAACTGTCTTCCACCTCCTTTTCTCTCTCTCTCTTCCCATGACATAAACAGCAAAGAGAAAGCTTTGCAGTCCTGAGGAGATCTACTGCTTCTTTAAAGCCCTTTCATGGCTGCCTCTGTTCCTCACAATGGGCTTCTCGACTCAGCAACTCATCCCCCCAAGACAAGGGTGATAAGCCATCAGCTGCATGTAAATATGCACGTGTATGGGGGTGTGTGTCCAAGCTCTTTTAAGTTGTCAAATTTACAAATACACTCCAGTGCTCACACTTACAGTAGACATATAGGGTCGGAGGAGAAGACAGAAAGAATGACTTAAAAGAGCTTGATTGAGGAGGTGGATGAGCATGTGTGTGTGCAGCATGTAGGGATCTGTGTTTGTCTCAATGATGGCATGATTATAATATAACACTCTACTGATCATTGTATAAAAGAAGTCTAACACCTTGTTAACGAATGTTAATGAAATCCTCACCTCAACAGTCAAAGAATTCTTCAAATAGTCAATCAAGAGAACATTTTTATTCAAAGTACCTAATCTGTCTAATCAATTTGAATTGAAATTGTATTATTTTGAAGCTAATTTTCCAACCTCTTCTCTGTTTATGACTTTTTTTTTTACATACGCATAGACCAAATGATCCAGAACATAATTTCTATATTTTAAGAATCTTGGGTTGAAGTCGTGGATGAACTTCAAGCTCCTGTGGGGAACTTGAGGTTTGTGTTGATTTCGGTGCCCGCTGTGGACAAATGAGGGAGATGTATTTTTTCCCCTCATCTTGTGTAACTTCTGCTTTATCACAAAAAAAACCTCTTTCAGCTTTCTTTTAAATGTCTAATATGCAACTCATGTTACTCTTTGGCCTGGAAAAATGTAAAAAGGCTGTTTTAGCAGCTTGCTGCTAAGTAGGGTCAGGCTGACAACAACACTGCGGCAGGCAGGGGCCAGTCAATCTTCCGTCTAATTATCTGATTTGCTTGATTTGTTTTGGCTTGTTTGAATTCAAAATCAAAGCATCATTGATTTGAAAAAGTGACCTTCTCACCCATAACATATTCAATTAAATGAAAAGCTTCATTAATCTCCTATTAAGCATGTTCAAGGCACTCACAAAAAGAAGAGATTTAACTGCATAACATTTCCAGCAAGCTTTCAGGGTTCAAGAGTTCAGTAATTAATTTGTCTTAACAGAAACATTTCCCATTAACATCGCAATGATTTTCATTCTGCTCAAAAGAAAAGAAAAACAGAAACTGTATTCAAAATCTTTTTGCTCATCACTGATATAATCTGTAGAACTGGGTTTCAGAATGGGCATGGTCAAGTCGTGGTGGCCCCTCATTTCCCCCATACACAGTCTTTACAAAACTACCAGATGAAAACATTTTTCTGAGCATCAAATTTCAGAGACAGAAAAAATGATGTTCTTATGTTCTTTAAGATTTAAACTATTTGGGACGGAACAGAATGAAGAAGTCTTGAAGAAGAAGGCAATTACAAAATGCAAAAGAAAAAGATCAACAAGAATAAAGGCAAATGTAGAATTAAGCTGACAACAATAGTTCCAAAAGTGCAGTCACCTTTAAATATAAGCCTCTATTTTCGAATGACCAGAAGGGCGCCACCTGAGGATATGGAGTTACCCCCTCAATTAATGGTTTTGGAGTAAACAGGGGATCAAGAAAAGATGCTTGATGACTATCAGGATCCAGCTGTATGTACTGCAGGGCGAGATATGCTCAGCCGCCCTGGGAAGTCTGAGCATGGCCCCCTTCAAAATCTTCCAACGTGTGGAGGAGGTTGCCAGGAGGTTGGTTGTCGAAGTGGCTGACCAGTTGGGCAACAGGCCTCTCCATTGCTGGCAGCTTCCAGCGGTGGGAAGGTCAAGATGTCAGTTATGTCTGCTCCCAGAGACGGAGCTGAAGCGGGCTGAGCCGAAGTAGAGCCTTGGGAGAGGCTGACTTGTCAGAGCCCTTTTTACAACTGCGGACAACCACCTTGGCCCGGGATTACCGGTGGTTTGTTGAGGAGCAGAAGGATGGCCGTGGGCCCGCGACAGGGTCCCAGAGAGCTGTGTCCCGGAGAAACGTTGTAGGCCACATCCATGAAGCTCGACAGGAGTGAATCTTTCTTTTTCAATTCATCGGCCAGCGGTAAGGTATCCTCAGTCAGCGATCTTTCTGTTCGCTCTTATGAGTAAAGAATCTGCCTCAAAAAGATGCACTAAGCATTGCGGTGGTTAGCTTAGCCATCGGGCTAAAGGTTTTGTCAACTAGCTTGCTACAGGGATTTTCAGTAGTTGTGCGCTAGTAGTAGTTGCTTTGCTTTCAGGCTTTTGTAGTTAATTTAGATTTAAAATAGGTGGTTCATAATAGTGATAAAAAGCACAATTAAGAGCGTCCAGCTAGCCTAGCCACATGGCTAAAGACAACACGAATGTAGTGAGACAGGGCTGACAAAGCGTCTATAAATAGTTCATGCACAGACAATAAGTTAAGCAGTTGTGTTAAGTTTTAGGCCAACTTCAATACAAATAACACACCAACAATGATTAACTCACCCTTAAATGTTTGTCAAATGTGGTTTTGTACATTTAAAATGCAACGTTTGTACCATGTGTGCATTACATTTGCATTTGTTTATGTGAGAGTAGTTATTAGTTTGCGCTCACCACTGGCTGTAACTGTGTGCCGGGCATCATGGCGTTGGCGAGCTGCATCTGCTGTGCCAGCATGGCCATGTTTTTCTGCTGGATGAGGTTGTTCCTGCCATTGATCTCCAGCTGCGTCTTTAGGTGGGGAGGAGGGTGCAGGTACTTACAGTTCTCTCTGGAGCAGCGGCCCTGGGAGAGATGGAGGAGGGGTAGGAGGAGACAAGGAAGGGCAAGGAGGATAGAAAGAGGCAAATTAAAAGAATGTTTCTGTCAACTGCTGCCTAATGTAAAGAAGTAATGAGCCTTGACTTGGGTTGCTGCCCTCTCATTTAGCGGGCGCTGACCTAACATCCCTGACATCTGGGCCTGCCACTGGGTTTATTGTGAAGAAGACTGATCAGATATGCTTCCCCCCCCCCATGCTACCCTCCCCTATTTTCTGAGGGTCCATCGGGAGACAAATTAGCTTCGAGAGCTGAGATAAAGAGGATTAGCAAGTCTATCTGCTTCTGCTAGCAGAGGGTTACACGCAGAGAAAAATAAAAAGGAAACAGGGAATAAGACACTAAATAATGATATGGATACTTTTAATTATCCAATCTGACAGTTATCATTTTTCTTGGTAAACACATTAATTAATAGGTCTGGAAAAGTTTTAAAACTCTTTAAATTGCTTGTTGAACCCGACAGTTAAATACGGAAATGCTTTTTCATATTGAATGAGAAAAAGAAAAGAAGCAAATCCTTACTTTTATGAATCTGGAACGAGATAATGTTTGATATTTTTGAGTGAAAATGGCTTAACAAATTTGTAGTTTATCAAAATACCAGCAGATTAACTTTCCTGTTGATCAAATAATCCACAATTATGAAACTATCCACCTTAGTTCAATTGTATATGTACTGTATAGCAACACTGATAGGTAAACAGAAGAGGCTCAAGTCACAGAAGGTTGCTTACGTTGCTCAGTTTCTCAATGTTTGCTCAGGGTTTGCTTTAAAAAAGAAAAGCAGAAAACCTCAGAAAAACAGTTGGAATGTTCCTTCCTATACATTAACGTTTGCTCTCACCAAAAAGAGGAATTGCTCTCCTCCATCTTGCACGCTGATGCTTGATGTTTTACGACACACAGTGAATCACTATTGATCTCCTACCAATTGAGACAAATTACCTATGTGTCAATATTTTACATCATTTCAGAAACAGAAGGGGGGGAACTATTGCAAAATCGAAACATGATCAGAGACTTCTGTGACAACAAACACACACACACACACACACACACACATACACACACACACACACACACACACACACACACATATCTATATTCTTCTAGTGTCCACAGACTGGGTGTGCACTGTGTTTCTGGGTGCTGCTCCGTGCTGTGTGTGATTATATTCATCCAGCAGCCGGCAGCCCAAGGGGAGAAAGAGGGAATGCAATTTACACCCTCATAATGCCTACTCCGCTGAACACTCCCCACTGGATGGGTGTAATATTTTAGATATTTCCTCCACTTTCTTTACTCTCATTCTTTTTCTATATTCTTTTCCTTCTGCCTCAGTCCCCCCCCCCACCATGCATCCCAGCCTGTAATCTGTGAGTGTGAACATGTGTGCAGAAATGTAAATACTGCCCTCACTCTTCTTCTCTCGCCTCAATCATGCCCTCCATCAAAATGCATCCTTCATATGAATCTATTTCCACAGGATGGGTAGACCAACCCTGCAGAAACTCCACACTACCACCTCCCATGGGGAATTTGAGGTTGGCTGTCATGCTGGTGCTTATCTCAGTGCGATTACCTACTGCCCACTGCGGCCCACCATGACACCTGCTTTCACAGCCTAACACATTCACTCTCCCACTCTTCCTTTTTTTCCTCCCACCTCCCTTCTTTCCCCTGCTTACATCGCGCTCTATCTCTCCATCTCTGCATCCTCCGTGCAGGCTGTTCTGCCTAGATACAGCAGGAAAAAGGTACTCTGCATTGGAGAGCGGCAGAATGTCAAGAGTTCTTGCAGCATTTTCATTGGTCGAGAGCTGAGAGTGGTAGAAATCCCAGTCGGTAGGTCGGCCTCGAGGCACGCATTAACAATGCTCCCAGTCTAGCTCTTCCCTGTGTTGCTGCGACTATTGATCAGCACTAATTGGCTAATGTCTTTTGATTTACAAGGCAAATTCCCGCCGGGTGACTAGACTCTAGTATGTCAACTCCAGCCGTGTCTCTGTGTGTGTCTGAGTCTTTTTCTGTGTGTGTGTGCATGTGTGTGTGTGTGATTAACTGCGACAATGCAGTCTTTCATTACAACAAATCCCCTAATTATTTTTTGAGAGAAATCGTAATCATTATTTTTCAATGAACTAATTAATATCAAATGACCACAGTGTGTGTGACTCATTGGCTGCCCACCGAATAAGCATTCTTTTAAAACATTATTTTGCCTACATTGGTTTCAAAGCTTTCCCAGCTTGTGTTGGTTTCCTAGATTGCAGCTTTACTGTTTTAGTTTCATCTCAACACTTTCATTATTCCGTTTTTTGACCAAAGCACTTTGAAATCCACTCTAAACTCCTTGCAAAGCCATAAACAGCAGACAGATGAAGTCAGTGGCTAGCTTGTAGCACATTTAACATTAATCAGCTTAATAGGCTGGTATTTCCCTGAGAAGTGAGTAGACGCAAACAAGAATCTAAAGAGTGTCATACAGAATTTAAATGCATCCAGTTTCAAGAAAGTAATTCCTTATTAGTGCTTTTATCACTTTCTGGTGGTTGATGCAAAAAATAAACAGTTTAAACAAGTTTAGCCTATTATCTTAAGAAGTAATAATATACCAGGGTTTATGATTTGGTTCAACTGCCCTGTGGCCAGAAGTCTGTCATTGCAGGTTAAAAAAATAGAAGAGTCGAACTCTTCCTGACATTTATAATATGTCAAGTTATTTTGAGAAAAGGATCAGCTGCAATATTTATGTGACGAAATGACATTTTCAAAATACAGTGCGCTTTAAGGAAATGCTCCTCCAATCCTATGATAAATCCCACGACCTTCTCTAGGAAACCATGATGAGCATCAAACTGAAGAATGCTTTGTGGTGGATGAATAAATGTTTGGTAGCTGAATCAGCAGGCTGAATATTATAACTTTGAAATCTACTAACAGCAAAGCTGGAGGGGAGAGTTCAAAAGTCTGGAAGGGGAAACAAAGACAACATTATGATAGATGAACTAAAGTTTAGTTTAACAATGTTTCTTTTTGATGGATTTAGTCCTCTCATTGATTATGTAGAGGCTCGATAAGCCGTAGTTGTAGAGTAACATGCTCTGGAATCACTTTAATGATTTGTAAACTGTCTGATGTTTATTATAGTGAATATGTGTGTGTAGAAGTACAGCAGCTTATTTTGTTCTTTTAAAATGGACACTGCTGAGAAAAAAAACAGCATGTTTAACTTCAGCCATTCTTCAAAAACAGCTGTTTGATCAGTTGCCATATGATTGTCAGTTTGCCTAAAGTTAGAGGTTATTAATAGGCAACAGCTAGATAGACCTTTAGAAATAAAGCAGTCAACTGATGCTGATTTAGAAGAAAAATCTGGTAAGATTTTACAAACAAAGCTAAGTTCAAACCACTCAGTGTGGTTGTGTTTAGACACAGAAGCATATTAGGTTAAAGAAAGTTTAGAAAAAGATCAAGTGGGCTATCAATAAGTACGTACACTAGCTATGTTACAAACATAATACATAAGTAAGTACATACATATGTAACTTAAAATTAAGTTTACTTCTTTTAAGAAGTCAACACTGATCATCCGTTTCACTGAGATTCAACTTTATTGTCATTACACATATACAAGTATAGAGTAACGAAATGAGGTTTGGCATCTCACCAGAAGTGCAAATAAGCAGAAAGTGCAAGAGTCTGTGCTATGTACAGTAATTACAAAATTTACAGATGTAGACTAAAAAAAGTGAATTATTAGGTATATATGGATGGCTGGATTAATGGGATGCTATAAATATAAATAAATGCTATAAATATAAGTGTATTCTTAGGATTATAATATACAGATTAAGGTGCAGTGAGCATGCTATACTAGTTTACAGATAATATACAGAATATGGACATTGAGGATTGAACCCCAGTAGCCTTGATGACAGTCCTCTGGTAACTTTTCAATTCAATAACCCCTGAATGCCAATATCAAACCATTAATATAGAGGAGGCATCCCCCGACAAAGCTAGACAATAACCTTTAAACATTAAAGTATAATCATTAGGATGAAGGAAAATCCTTATTATCATGCCTGCAACAATGATGATTTACCTCATCACTGTATTTTATCAGCTCAATCCAAAAAGGTCAGCAATTTAACAAAGCCCTACCGCTTCGTTTTCACCAGTAGCCCCCATTAATCTGTTGCTGTGCACAATTCAGTCCTGCTGGAGCCTGATGTCCCTCCACACCCGACACTCCCAGTGATGCTAATGTCCTAGCTTCTCTCCTGCCTGCCTGTCTAAACAGTGTCAGAACAGGTTAATCGTGATGCTGTCTGATCCAGTGATCCCTCTGGCTACACTGCACAACTACAAGACACATTGAGTTGACTCTTTTCCACCTTCACCTGTCTACGAGTCCTCCGCTGAGACTCTAATATGCTAACAATCTACAAGCATCTGTCTCTCACGCACAATGCTGATTGCCGTACTCTTTTGGTCAGGTTGCTGCCTTGACTAGTTGTTGTTTTTCTCCCCGCATCCTGTTTGCAATAATATTCTATGATTCTGTCTGAAACAATGTTCAAACATGTCTTGATTTAACAGCCTTTACATGAAGTTGTCTCATCACTAAATGTAGGTGTTTCTGTGGCAAAGCACAGTTTCTCTTTTAATAGGGGAGCAATTGAAAGAAAGTGAACCAGCTGTCACAGTCGCACTCTTTAAGTGTGTGTGTGTGCGCGTGTGTGTCTGTGTGTACATGCTGGGAAAATAGAGGATTCTGCATTCACAGTATAAATCACCTTGGCCTCATTACACCACATATCTTTCAGCCATATTTTTGCTCCTACACTTGCATGCACATAAATATAGCGCAGACAAACACACCACCAACTTTGACTTCTTTTTAGAATAAAAAAAGCTTTAAAGTTTCAAACTGTTATTGATGATTATGAATTAGTA